ACCTACCTCATTTCCTCTCTTCCTTTTCCTCTATCCTGCTCTTTTCTCTCCTCTCCTCACTTCCTCTCTTCTCAGTCCCTCCACAGTCCATGTTTCTCTAATTATTGCAGAGCAGCGCATTACAGAGCAGCTGGATGGTTAGGCTGAGGTCAGAGGCCTCTGCAGGAGGAGAGGCTTTCACCAGCACACTCTCTGATCACCTCTGGAGCTGAACACAGGAGATGCACATTTATACAGGAGGCACACAGAAGAGTAATGGCCATCTAATATGCTAAAATCCCTGTAGTTTAAAACTGAGCTGGAGAACGAGTCTGTACTTTATGGTGTTTTGAGTTTGCAGTGCCCCCTTACTTAAATCAACTACAGTCCTATGGTGGCCGTGGTTGGTTACAGTAAATATCTTAGTAATTACTGGGTCTGTCCACATGAGACAAAAAAGGACACAAAGTTCATGTCTTCTGTCATCATAAATAAACTTTTTTTTTTTTTAGAGTAGCTTCACAAAGTGGTGCCATTATTTAGCCCCAAAGACGTTATTGTTGTCATTTGAAAAGACGATTTCCAACCAATGTAAAAACTGTGAAAGCAAGCTGGGTCTTGCCCATCAATACAAAAACAGTATGCATTTACCAGTTGGGTTACCTGGAGTCCATCTGAGCTAATAATATTGGTAGTCCAAGTCCATATTATGCACTACAGGCATTGAGTCTGGACATGTATATTGCGTGCAGCCTATATTGTGATTCTTTTACTTCATTTTGTTTTCAAGGGAAACACTTGATTGTTTTATTTGGTTTGCCTGATTATTACATTGTGTATTCTGTAACTGTCATTCAACTGTCTATTTTGGCACCATCCTTTTTCTTATCTGATCTGGATGATCATGATCAAAGTTCAATAATGAATCATTTGTGATCTTTTCAGTTTTGCTGTCTTATCATCATAGTAAGGTTGTTTTGCATAATGAAAGATGAAAGATAAAAAAATATATATATAAACTAAATAATACATAGCAAGGATGACGTCTCTTACAGGGCTTATATTATGATTTTAGATTTTTTTATTTTATGTTATATTGTTTCTTCATCAAGAACATACCTGGAGTTGTTTTGTTTCAAACTCTGCATATTTAGGCTGAGTTCTCTTTTTCCATACACCATACACTCATTCAATTTATAAAGAAGTTTAAATGTTTAACGCTGGACAGATACATGAATTATGATATTTAGTTTGTGCTGTAGTACTTTGTTGTTCTGTTTCTGATTTGTTTGTTTCCTCTTGCTGTATTTACGAAGATGAACTGGTGTCAAGATGACGCTCTGATAAAGGAATAAAGGGTAGGCATAATAAACTTAAGCTTCAGCCTACACCTTTTCGGTCTGTGTATGTTAAATATGACTGTCTGTGAATTAATGTCAAAATATACCTGTGACCGAAATAAATAATCACATACACCTTCCATACACCTCTACACACTAGAATCATTTGATAATTTGAGCCCTGGAATTGCCATCTCTGCTGCTATGAAGTTCAAAAGTAGCTGTCAACTTGAAAACTACAGCTTCACAAGGTGGAATAGAGCATTTTGAGCTTTGAAAATGTCCAGAGACTAATTATAAAGGGTTACTCAAATATGTGTGAATGAAACAAAACACTCCACATTTCCAGGTATGTTTTTGATAAAGCAACATTACAACATTGCTTAAAGCTCACAAGAATCCATTATGCATTATTGTGTTGCATGCATCTTCCACCAGGGCCTGTGTTACTGAGCGTGGTCACATTTGAAGCGTTACAGAGAGAATGAATCACTCGGGGTGGAGGGACTGTTGGACTGTTATGGATCCACCAGATAAGACTGACTCACCTGTTATAAGATCGACCTCACATTTAGTCCCTTATCTCTCCAGGATGGGTTGGTACCTATTCAGACTGTTAACTGTTATTGATTTTTAACTTGGATCTTTAATTGGTTGTACAAGAAACAACCCAGATACATTATTTACTTAAATCTTTTTTTTTTTTTTATTGTTTGATCACTAGAATCATCAGGTTGAAATTCCAACCAGTAGTTACCCCTCACTATTAAATTGCATATTCAGTCCCCCAAATTTTTATTTTTAAGGTTATGGATTATGAATTCATTGCAGTTATTTCTTAGCAAGGTGTAGGTTGATTGCCATTTTCACTGTTAGCTGAAGTTAGGCAGAAAAAAACAATTCAAACAATTAGTGGACTTTAGCTTCCTGTTCATAGACACCATTTTGAGGACTTTTGTTAATTGAAAACATAGACTTTTTTTTTTTTTTTTTTTAAATGTAGATTACTATGGCAACAGTCAAAATTGTTCATGACTCAGAAACCCATGGATAGGAATGCACTTAAATTGACTCATCCATGGGTGCAGTGCATGCTATATGGGGTTCTTATCTTTTCAACACCATCATTTAACTACTCATTTCACGATTTTGGTGATTTGCTATCATAAAATATAACATTTCAAGTACATTTTAAAGTGATGTTCCAGCTTTCAGCCAGCTGTTGTCTGCTAAAAGAGGAGTTTGATACTAGCCTCCTCTGGTTACTACAGTGATAAATCTCTGTTGTAGTGGTATGTAAAATATTTGACCCATTGCGAGCTGTCAGGACTCTTATTTATTTTCAGAGCGGGAGCATTCTCAGGTTCCCACATGCTTTGTCATGAAAAAAAAATCCAACAACTTAGTGAGGATTCCTCTCTCTCCCTCACTCTCTGTCCCTCTCTCTTCCTCCTCCCTCCAGCTCTCCCTCTCTCACAGACTGCACCGTCATCCTACTTTGGGCTCATCTGACACGCACACAAGTTAACGCTGCAAATTCAGATCTCCTTTTCACTTATTTTTGGACTGACGGGACACTATATACATTCAGACGCACCACTAAAACCTATTACTTGATTACTCTGTTGGTAGGTTCAGAGTAGGACTGTTGTAATTGAGTATTTCAAGCATTTAAAATATGAACATTAAAGCGGGTTTATTTGCAGGGTTAAATTTGGATACTTTTGGCTTTTTCACAAACTATACAAACAGAGCCAGAAAATTAGAGGTAAGATGGGGAATGTCCCTCGCTTCAAATTGAACCTTGGCCAAGCCCTGATAGATGCTATGTAATTGAGGAGTAAGCCAGATGTATTGTAGATTGTAGAGCTGTAATTGCACAAAAATGCCTTGTATGTTGCAACTGACTCTCCTTGACTAACCTTTTCAACGTAATGTTTTTTCTGACTATTCTCTGTCAAGGAGCCAAAACCAAATCGTTTCAAATCAGGAAGAAGTGAAAGCACATCCAACCTACCACAGTTAAGCACATCAAAATGATAACAACAGACAAACTCATTCAAGAGTCACATTTCAGAATAGATCTAAACAACAGGGTTAGCAGTTTTTTCTGCAGAATAAGACCAGATATTTTGTTTGTGGATAAAACTATGGTACTATGGTCAAAATTTGCAGACTTTTAGGGTTGTGCAATATGAGGAAAAAATTGCAATAATTGATAACTGTTTTTTGATAATAACAATATTATTGCAATATATATTTTGGCACAGTAAGATCAGTTAAATTAAAACAAAAAATGTGCATGCCTTCAGTCTGATGTAGGACCTTTTTGTCAATTTTCTTTCTAACTGCAAATTTCTTCCAAGCACAGTATTATGTGTTGCAATGTATTTATCTTTGATATTTTTGCGATATATTGTGCTTCCTTAGTATCCATTCAAGTGTTGAGATTAATCTTGCAGCCTGAATTTGAAAATCAGATTTTGAAAGCAATAATGACTTCTTGCAGTGTCTGACAGTTGCAGCCTGCGCTCCCAACTTTTTTCATGATGACACTAGCTGGCTTGTTTACGGCTGCTTTTAGACCCGAAGAAGAGAGGGAGAGAAAGAGGAGAGGAAGAGGAGAAGAGAGAGGAGAAGCTGGCAGGCGCTGGAGAAAACAGAGGGGGTTTTACTGGCCTCAAGAGTCGGAATTCCTCCTGAGCTGTTCCCCCATTTGGCTGGCAGTTGTGAAAACAATTGCCTGGCATTTACTCTCCCTCTCTCTCTCTCTCAGTGCAGATGGAGTCCCAGTTATGAGTCAGCTCGGAGAGGAGAAAGTGGTGGGCTCTGGAGCGCAGGAGTTAGAAGCATTACTTCGCTCTCACATGTTGTTTTGATGGTGGCCAAGCTGTTCACAGTTGCATTAGTTGATTCCCTTATACATTATTATACACTATATACCTACTGTGTCAGAGTGAAGACAGCATACATTTTCTGTTGCGCATGAGAGCTGCTAAAATGTGTCGTACATAGCATTTATTATATTAGTATTGATGGCGAGAGCTTAGAGGACTTGTTTGCACACTGTAGCTCTGTTCCAGTTCCTGCTAATGGAAATACATACTTGCGTTTTGTCCTTGGGCAAGACCCTTCCCTTTCTTTTCATTTGGTGTCCATCGTCATTGTGTTGAATGTGTTGGCTGGAGAAATAGACATAGCTGGTTTTCATACTCCCTTGAATTCTTTCAATATGATTTTAGTTTAAAAAGATGTCATCCGATAAATTGTACTAAATCTTAAAGCTAGAATATGACATTGTGGTGGAATTTTATGGCAGGTCAGTGGCTCAGATGGTAGAGCAAGTGACAACTACAGATAACCTCTGCGTTTTGTTTTGGCCTTTTGTTTTATGTATAGGTTGAATTAGCCGCATTGGCAAATTAAAGGTTGCAATTATTTAGGTGATATGGTGTCAGAAATACAGTAAACATAAGGGTGTAAAAGAAACAAATGCATTCTCTTATAGTTTAGCAGTTCATATGTCAGTGTTCTGTGAATGTTTATGTTCTTGGATGTATTCAAAATATACACTTTGAAATGACTTTTAATACATTGATCACAAATCCAATCACAGTTTTAGTTCTTGATTCCAAAGTAGATATCTTGCCAAACTAACCGTTCTGTTTTTGCTGTTTCTAGGGTCTACCAGATGAAGATGCGTCGCTGATGTCTTGAGCTGAGGGCCCCCTGATATCTCTCTCCACATCACTTCTTCACTTTTGGTTCGCTTGCTCCACAGTCCCCCAGAGCTCCAACAACAGCAGCAGACCCTTCACCTCTCCTCCTTCACCTCCTCCACCTCTCCTCCCCGCTCCCCTCCGCCCCCGCCCGGCCGCCATCATGACATCGGAGCTGGAGAGTAGCCTGACCTCCATGGACTGGCTTCCCCAGCTGACAATGCAAGCGGCCATCCGGAAAGCAGACGCCCAGAACGCCCACGGCCCGGGCATGGGTAAGAAGAGCGCCCTGCTGGATCCCAACACCACGCTGGACCAGGAGGAAGTCCAGCAACACAAGGATGGCAAACCTCCGTACAGCTACGCCAGCCTCATCACCTTTGCCATCAATAGCTCGCCAAAGAAGAAGATGACCCTGAGCGAGATCTACCAGTGGATCTGCGATAACTTCCCGTACTACAGGGAGGCAGGCAGCGGCTGGAAGGTAAGATTAGAAACCACTTTGATAAACCGCTTATGGAGATTTTGGTGAACAATAGTTGGCATTTTTGCTTTTTGACCATAAAAAGGGCAGTTTTGTCTTTATCAGCCATATAGTTCATTTTTAAATTGAACATTTATGCACTTCAGTAATAAAAATGTGTGGCCACCATCTTGTTCAGATGAGTTATTTTTCAGATTACTAAGAATATATGGTCATCTACTGGCCTGTGTTAGGACAGTAGATAAAGTCTTGAATGACTAGTTAGCACTTCTGTTAGCAACATTGTGCTAATCAGTATGATCAAAACTGGTTAGGCCTGGACGATTTAAGAAAAAATCTAATTGCGATTTTTCTGTCAGAAATTGCAATTTCAGTTTCATTCACGATTTTTTCAAATCAAGTTTTAGTGCACATGAACATTGTGTAGAACACACCAACATTGTTTTAATTTCTTCGGTACCACTTGAACTCTGAGCAGGAGTTTAATTACTTGATGTTCACTTTTTCGGTGTTACTCGCACTTAATCATATCATTTTTAGCAGCAAACATTTATGTCATCTGACCTGCCACACACACACACACACAGCAAGAGTGGTGTAAGGTCATTACTATAAAAAGCATTGTTTTGTAATCCAAATATTCACATGCTGTCAGTTGTGCTTGCTCATACATTCCTTAACACTACACATAAAAACAATACATTTCCCAACCATAACCACAGGATGCACTAGCTACTCTTTCACAAACCTACCCCATATTGCTGTAATCACCACTGTCCCATTCCTAAAAGCCTGTCCAGTGTCCTTGGAGTGCACCAATCACCTCGCGAGTCTCTCCACTCTTCACACGAATGAAAACCGCCACAGACTGGAGTAAGTGTTAAGCCTCGGATTAATATTCACCAAAGTGGGCCCTATCTGTTCCAACACAGACTAAATAGCCCATTCACTGCCTGTATTATACATTGCAGATGCGATGATAGCAGCGCAACCATTATGCAGAAGGAGGAGATCCAGTGCTGTGTCATCATCTCAAGGAGCGCGTGATATAGGGAGATGAAGCTATGCTGATTGCCTTTTAAAGCGGGCACAGATGGAAATTGATATTACAATGAGTTTTCCAATCAGACTCCGTTTATTGGGAATGGGATCTTAGGCAGTGCTTTATTGCAGTCAGACAAGATGTATGATGGCTATTTCCTGAGGCGACAAGATCTGGCGGTTTTTGGTGCGAAGGTGTGTGTGGGGAGAGATGGAGAGATGGGGAGAGAAGGAGAGAATTGGAAGGAGAAAGGAGAGCAGGTTTTATTATAAATAGATTGATTTGGTTTCAGTGGCGGGCCGCTTTTTGTGAGGAAATGAATTGTTTTATTTCTCAAACCCATGTCTATGCTTTTACCTTTATCGTTTCTTATTTAGTTGTCAAAAGCAGACGCTCGTGTTGCACGATGTCATGTCCGCTCCCTGATAGAAGAATTTTCTACCTTTTAATATTTGTTTTCTATTTTGGATTCCACTGACTTATTCTGCCAAATTGCACCCAAATGAAGGCCTTTCCTGGTCAATTTATTGCTTAATATCGGTTCAGATAGAGATAGTTGCGGTGTATCAGGAGGTATAGGTCTTTAGATGTGTCTTGTTCTTCACTTTGTGCTTGTGTTGTGTCTTTGTGCAAGACAATGAATTGTGATTAAATTGAAATTGTGTTCTGGCTGGAAAATCATATATATTTTTTGCCATACCTCTCACTCCTTTCTTTGAACTAGTATGTAATTAGTTTACATCTAATAGAATGACGTATAACAATGGTTCTCAAACTTTTCACACCAAGTACCTCCTAAGATAATGTATGGCTTTCCATGTTTCCAAGTCATGATAATTACTATATTGACTTATCGGTCAATACACATGATGGATAATAATGATTATTATTATTATTTTTGATTGTCAGTATTTATCATGAGGACTTTTTCTTTGTACTAGTGGGGAAACTTTTTGTTTTTTTTCTGTATTATGGTTTGTTTTGAGCCATAGAGGGTAGAACTTTGACTCTAGTCTTTCATTTATTTTTTGCAACTCATGTTCATTATCAATACTGTATAGAATCGTTCTTTTGGGTGTAGCATAATGCCATAATGTAGCATAATGGCTTTCAATATTATATGTATTGTATAATATATCGTACTAAATTTGTTATTGTGACAGGCCCGTTTTCCAATTACAATCAGATCCTAACCCAGATTATATCAGGCCTAAATTGAGTCTAAACTATGGATAAGGTAGTTCTCTATAATGACAATCCCAAAGGACAAAAACATGAAATTATTACTATGTACCACAGTTTGAGAAACACTGATCTACAAATAAATTACCAATAGATACATATGAAGTTGGAAGTACACACTCTTAATAAAAAGTTAATATGCACATCAATCAAAACTATTTGATCTAAAAGTTAAAGTTGCCTTCATTCACTTAAAGTAAGCATGCAGGAGCAGCAGGTGTTAAAAATACCCTGAAAGGGAACACCACTCATATCAAAACCACATACAAAGACTTCCAGTCGCCTCCAATGATTTGTTTAGAAAACCATCCGAAACTGTCATTTTGTCAAGTCCCAAACTACAGTAACAGGAGAACAAAGTGACGCTATGGGAGTCTGTGCAAACGCCTCCAGCAAGAAAACTTTTGATATCAAATGCCTTAAGAAACTTGAATAAAAATCTCGATCTGATTTCAGAAGTCTGTACCAGATTACGCCATTGTACCTTTATTCTTGGGAGCCCCACCCTGTCACCCAGAATGAAAGTAGTGACATAGATTTAAACTAATCGAGCATCTTCAAAGCCCATTTGTATTTCCTGTGCCTTACAGAGAAATCATGTGGTTTTCACACTTAGAAATGCAAAGGGTATTTCTGCTCATGATCCAGCCAGGTCTGAAAAGTGACGATCCAAATAGAAAAACACTAATACTGAAACTGTCGAAATGCCAATCTCCAGCCACATGCACTAACGACACGTGTCCTCTGTTGTAGGATGAAAGATCAATTACTGACTAAAAACGTTGCACTTTACAAATTTTGCTTCTTCGTATAGACCGAATTGTTAACATTTTACAACAGCATTTTTAAAGGGCCTGTGCCAGATGTGTGTGTGATATGATATGCAAACTCATCTTACCCTAGTACAGATTTGTATAAACAAAGTCAAAATACATCCGCTTTGTGCTCTGTGTATCAAAATGGAAAGCATTTTATTGTCTAATAATCAGGAAGTGTACACTAGCATTCAAGTTTTAGCATTACTGTGGTGCCAAACTCGTCTCTGGTCTTTTATAGCTGTGAAAAGCACTTATAAACTCATTGCGTTGAATTATTAGACCGCTCAGACTGCAAGGTAAGTGAGGAATATCTTTGGACCACTGCAAACCATTTAAAATTGGCAATACATGGGATCCATTTGTTACTCTGATTTAAAATGCGTGTATAGTATTTGTGTGTTAGCATGTGTCTTGGTTAGCATAATTAGCTGATTGCAGATGTGCTTGGGTGAGGTGAATGTAGGTCACTGTAGTCCCCCCTCTATACCCCTCCTCTTACCCCCACTCCAGCCCCCTCTCTTACCCCCAGGAGATATGCTTTTGCCCTCTATGATAATAATACAACCAACCAGTGGAGCTGCCAGGGCTCATCCAGGCACCGGCAACGCACTCAATCGTCTCAATAAATACTCGATTAGACCTCGCTTTTAAGAAATATCAATAAGTGCTGTCAATAAAAACAGATAATTTACCAAGGTCAAAAATGTGAACGCTGCAGAGGAGTATGTGTCTCTACCTGCTGCCTCGGTGCACGCTGGGTAATTACTGAGAGCTGCTCTTAACACCCTCTGAGCACTCAGGCATTCAGTTCACCTTTAGCACAAATGTCTCAGATTGTTATGTGCGGGGACTAGCTTATGCGGTTAATGCTTTCTTTGTTTTCTGCTGTGGTGTCTTTGGGTGTCTTGAAAAGTGCTATGTAAGTGGGATGTAGGTTTATTATTAGTGCAGTCTATCCGGTCAATTTATTTTTGTTTGGGAATTGACAAAGACTTCTAAGTATCCTGTGCAAAATCAGAGTTTTGGCATTCCCAAGCCTGGATAAAAGGAGGAGGATGAGATTGGGTAGAGCATCTTGCTTTTTTGTTGTTTTTTTCTGGTAAGGTATTTCTGAAAATGAATGTATTTATGGCATCTTAAAGTAAAGTCTAAAGCTAAGACAATATTTTAAACCCTAAAGTCTCTGATTGAATACCACAGGTGTTTTTGTACAGTACATACAAATCATATTGGCCAACATGTGGTTAATGTGCAAATTCTTATTACAACCATTGATTGTGAGTTGAATAGAGTTTTACACCTTATTGAAACCTGTGAAAAACATGTGTGAAATGATCAGCATTTGAATTACATTTCTAGGGCTGGCTCGTGATAATCTTCTATTCACGTTTTTCAGATTGATATTTTGTTATGTCTTTAATTGTTAATTTCCTGAACATAAATAATACAAATTATTATTAAATACTATTTAACACAAGCCTCTTAAGTCTGGACTTTCTATATTAAATATTATTATAATATTATTGACTCTTAGAGATGACTGAATTTCAGTCTCGATTAAAATTTGATTAATGTCACAGCTCATTCTACACCAGACTTTTCCATACTAAAAAACAGGGTGATGAGCCATTAACATTTCAATCAAATAAAAATATCCCACTCATTTAAATAGCTTTGTACCGTTTGTATTAAGCACAATTTCTCCGTATGTTCACCCAGCTATATTCAAATTCCCCTAATCTTTTCAGTTTTACTATTACTCTGTTGGATGACAGCTTGGCTCTCACATCTGCTCTTGGTTGCAGAGGTCGCGTGGCATGTAGTGCCAGTCCTCTTGCTCTCTCTGTCTGGTCTTTCTCTTCCTCTCTCTTTCCTCTCTACGTGGGGCAAATGATTTG